ATATCTATAGACATTTCCAAATGTCAGATGTCCCCTGGTTGGTGGGGGGATTGCTCTCAGTTGAGAAACATTGGTCTAATCTATGTGGCAGCTATAGACCTACAACACATTCTCTTTTTAATTTGTAAATTGTAAAACTAAGAGAAGATAATATCGGGAAAGACTTAAAGAAGTAGCACAGGAGTTTGTGTGAGCAGGAACAGTGAGGAATATGGATAAAAAAAACATGCATTCATACTACCTTACAACCATCATGATGGCTAATATATATAAAAAAAAAAAGAAAGTAGCAAGTGTTGACAATGATGTGGAGAAATCAGAATTCTTATGCACTATTGGTAGGAATATAAAATGGTTTAGCCATGATGGAAAATCATATAATCAAAAAATTAAAAATAGAATTACTACATGCTTCATCAATTCTACTTCTGGGTATAAACCCAAAAGAATTAAAACCAAAAGTTCTGGTCAAGATGGTGGAGTAAACACTGTGTTGGCCTTTTCTCATGACCACATCAAAACTACAGCTAACCTACAGAACAACCATCAGTGAGAATCACCTGAAGTCTAGCTGAACAGAAGTCCTATAACTGAGGCTATACAGAAGAAGCCACATCAAGATTGGTAGGAGGAGCAGAGACAAAACTGGCTGGTTCTACGCCCATGTGTAGTGGTTGAGAATTGGATGGGATTATCTAGGCTGTGGAGGTCTCAGCCTCATGCCAGGCTCCCAAGCCTGGAGCACCAGTGCTAGAAAGAGAAGTCCTCAGACCTTCTGGCTATGAAAACCAGTGGATTTTGTGGCTTAATGAAATAGAGGGCTGCAGGAGTTCCAGGCATTTTTCTTAAAAGGCCCGCATATAGACTTACTCACTGATGGCCTCACTCGCATTGAGCTCCAGCTTTGGGGCAGCAGCTCAAAAGGTGCCAAGGACATATGGGAAGGAACTGAATTATGTGGCTTCAGTGTGAGAGCTGGAGAGGCTGCTTTCTCCCACACAGAAGTTCTGGCAGAGGGCATTGTTCCTTTGTTGAGCCCTCCCTGCTCCTAGTGCACAGACTTAGGCAGGCACCATATTTAAGTCTCCATCAACACTGTTCGCCCTACCCTGGTGATGCCATGAGACCCTGCCTCACCCAACTCGCAGGCCCACCCAAGCTGCTTCTAGTGGCTTTTCTGTACAAATGGCCTGTCTTGGCTCATGCTGTGGACTTCCTAAAATATCTCAAAGGTTCACAAACCCCAGACAAGTAGCTTCTGGCCTCAATGTGCCCTGTATCTCTGAGTAGTCCCAGCCTAGCACTGGTGGAAGCTGGCCTTGGTTTGGAGTTTATCCTCTCTCAGGCAACTCCAGGTCCAGCATGGGTGGAAGACATCATCAGATCACTTTGTAGCTCATACCAGGTGGCCTCATGCAAGGCACAGGCTGCAGGTGAATTTGGCCTGTAGTGGGGCCCTTCCCAGAAGGTCCTGGGGCCAGCACACCTGGTAGCCGGCTTCAGACTGAGCTGGAGCACCACCTACGGTCGCATCTGAGGATAACACACCCAGAGGGCAGACTGGGCAGGCAAAAGAGCCCTGATCAAATGAATCCTGCTCTGTAGGGTCAGCCCTTCCTCAACAGCTCCTCCACTGTAGTCCAGGCCAGTCCTAAAAATCAATCAGCCTGAAAGTCAGTTCTTTCCATTGATGTGCAGACAGCAGCCAAGGCTCAGTTACAAGAGGAGGGCACACACAACCCATATAAGTGATACACCTGGAGCACCTGGCCCAGCTGACCAGGGAGACTGTGCCACCGGGCTACATAGGACACCTACTATGTAAGGACACTCTGCCAAGACCAGAAAACATAACAACTCTCCCTAATACATAGAAACAAGCACAGGGAGGCAACCAAAATGGGGAGACAAAGAAACATGGCCCAAGTAAAAGAACAGAACAAAGTTCCAGAAAAAGAACTAAATAAAATGGAGACAGGCAATCTGTCAGATTCAGAATTCAAAAACTGGCTGTATGGATGCGCGATCTCAGTGAGAACTTCAACAAAGAGATAGGAAACAAAAATGGAGATAGAAAATAAAAAAGAATCAGTCAGAAATGGAGAATGCAATAGTTGAAATAAAGAATACATTAGAGGGAATCAACAGGAAAATAGGTGAAGCAGATAATTGAATCAGCGATTTGGAGGATAAAGTAGCAGATAACACCTAATCAGAACAGCAACAAGAAAAAAGAATCCAAAAAAATGAGGATAGTTTAAGGGGCATCTGGCACAACATCAAGCATACCAACATTCGAATTATAGGGATACCAGAAGGAGAAGAGAGAGAGCAAGGAATTGAAAACCTACTTGAAGAAATAATGACTGAAAACTTCTCTAACCTGGCAAAGGAAATAGACATACAAGCCCAGGAAGTGCACAGAGTCCCAAATAAAACCAACCCAGAGAGGCCCACATCAAGACACATCATAGTTAAAATGCCAAAGGTTAAAGACTGAGATCTTAAAGGCAGCAAGGGAAAAGCAGTAAGTTCCAGAAAAAGAACTAAATAAAATGGAGACAACTGTAACTACCTACAGAGGAACTCCCATAAGACTGTCAGCTGATTTTTCAACAGAAACTTTGCAGACCAGAAGGGATTGGCACAAAATATTTAAAGTGATGAAAAGCAAGGATCTACAACCAAGATTACTCAGCAAAGCTATCATTTAGAATCGGAGGACAGATAAAGAGCCTCCTAGATGAGAAAAAGCTAAAGGAGTTTTATCAACACCAAACCAATATTACAGGAAATGTTGGTCTTCTTTTAAGGAAAAAAAAATATGGGTAATAAAATGGCAATAACTACCTATCAACAATTACTTTAGGTGTAAATGGATTAAATGCTCCATCAAAAGACATAAGGTAGCTGAATGGATAAGAAAATAAAACGCATACATGTGCTGCCTACAAGAGATTCCTTTTAGATTGAAAGATGCACAAAGACTGAAAGTAAAGGGATAGAAAAAGATATTTCATGAAAATGGAAATGAAAAAAAAATTTTTAAAAAGCTGGAGTAGCACTACTAATTCCAGATACAACAGACTTTGAAACAAAGGTCGTAACAAGACAAATAAAGACCCAGTAGTCTCACTCTGGGTATTTAATCAAAGAAACCCAAAAGACTACTTGGAAGGGATATGATCATCCCTTATGTATGTTCATTGCAGCATTATTTACAATAGCCAAGATATGGAGGCAACCTAATGTCCATCGATGAATGTATGGATAAAGTAGAGGTGGTACATGTATACAATGGAATATATACAGTTACTCAGCCATAAAAATGAACTCTTGCCATCTGTAACAATGTGGATGGACCTAGAGGGTATCGTGCTGAGTGGAGTAAGTCAAACAGAGAAAGACAAAAGTCATATGATTTCACTTACACGTGGAATCTGGAGAATAGGATAAAGAAAAAAAAAACAGAAACAAGCTCTTAGATACAGAGAGATTTTGAAGGTTTTGGAATTGGGGTGGGGGGTGGAGTGATGGGTGAAGGGGGAGGGGATTTTGAGGAACAAATTGGTAGTTACAAAATAGTCATGAAGTTGGTAGAGTACAGCATGGGGCATATAGTCAGTAAATAGTAACTGTGGTATCAGATGCATACTAGATTTATTGGGATAATGACTTTGTAAGTTATATAAATGTCTAATTACTGTGTTGTACACCTGAAACTGATACAGTATTTATGTCAACTATAATTTAAAAAAATAGAAATATTAATAAAAAATAGAAAAATAAAATGCTACAGGAGAAGAATTAAAAGCAGGATCTCAAACAGATATTTGTGCATGATGCATGTTCATAACAGCATTATTTGCAATAACCAAAAGGCGGAGGCAACCCAGTGTGTCCATTGACAATGAATGGCTTAAAAAAACATGGCTCATACATACAACTCAGCCTTAAAAAGGAAAGAAATTCTGGCACATGCAACAATTTGTATGAACCTGGGGACAGTTTTCTAAATGAAATAATCCAGTCATGGAAAAGATAAATAATGTGTTAGGTACCTATAGTAGTCAAATTCATAGAGAAAGTCAAAGGATGGTTGCCAGGAGTTGAAAGGAGAGGTGGATGGGAGTTGTTCATGGGTATAGAGTTTATTTTGCAAGATGAAAAGAGTTCTGGTGATTAGGTAACAACATGAATGTACTTAACATTATTGAAATGTACGCTTAAAAATAGTAAAGATCGTCAATTTTATGTTATGCATATTTTACCACAATTAAAAATAAAATTTAAAAAATACCCCCAGATTGAGATCATTTACCTTTCTCTCTGTTTTCTAGAAATTTCTGACCTCATTCTCCTCTTTTCCGTAATTCCATTCTCTCAGCCCCTTTACACAAAGGAAATAAAGTATTATTAAGTAGATGAAAGTAAGATAGTGTGATTCTAACCATATCTCTTAATCCTCAAGAACACAGTAACAGTGTAGTAGAAACATTTAATAGTCCGTGTCTTAAGAACTTTAAAAAAAATTTTCCTTAGCTGCAGGTTCTAGAAGAAAAAAATAAGAATTTGCAAGAGACTTTGATAGATATGGAAAAAAACTTTGAAGAGATTAAAAAACAGTGTCAAGAGAAAGAGGCACAATTAACATGCCAGAAAAGGAAAGAAAAGGAGTTGGTAACTACAGTTCAGAGGTAAGAAACCCTTCAGTAATTTTTTTGTTATTTTTAAGTTATTCACATTTTTCATAAAGTATTTTAATTAAAATATGTTAATTTATAATTATACAATTATTATTCTTCTCTTAAAAGTGTACTATTAAGAACCAGAAGTATTATGCCATTGAAATAGTTTGTCTCAGTTGTGATTTAACCTTTCCAGTCTTGCCAAAGATTTTAGATAAGAATAGTAAAAAAAAAAAAAAAAAGTTTGAAAACGTCATCTGATGGCTTTGTCAAAATATAAGTAAAAATTTTAAATAAAAAATGAGTCAGATACTCAAACTGCACCCCTTAAGGATATATGTCAAAGTGAAGTAAATTAATACAGTTAGAATTACAGTGAGTATTATTGTTAGTTTATTTAGCTAATGCATTTAAGCTGAGAAATGAATATTGGATACCTGAAAACCCAGAGAATTATGTTATCTGTGCATGTGCATGTACTCTTTGTTTTGTAGAACTTAATAGATTATCAACGACAAATAGATCAAACTATCCTGATGACACAAAAAACTAAGACATACACTTCGTTTCTATCCAGTGTATATAACTATGTGTATTCTCTGCTGTTTGATCAAAATACATCTGATAATTCCGTGTTAATATTGCTTTAATACTCCTTTCAAACTCTTATGTATGCCTGGTCTCCCAACTTTTATTCTCTTGGATTTTAGTGCAGAAAATTCTGATTTCTGAGACAATTCAGTCTTCAGTGTTTCTGACCTCAGCTCCAAAAAATTCATATACTTTTGATTCTACCTTTATTTTTCTATTTTCTGCTTTCTTGTTCTTAATCTCTCCTTTTATAACTCATCTTATATCACTGTTCTGTAGTTTCAAAACAGATTTCTGACTTCCACTAATTCAACCATGTATCTTTTTCTTTTATCTTATTGATAAAATGAAAAGAAGTAATGTATCTCATGTTTTATAGGGCATTATGATCATAAACTCAATCTGTGTTTTATAAATATAGAATTAGGACTACCTGAAAATAATTTGAATGTTTTTGTTCCATTCTGATTTTATACCTTTTTTTTTAATTTAGATTTTCTCTTTTATTAGGTTTTTGGAGAACATTGACCTTAATAGTCTTGATTTGGAAAGATTTAGTACAGTGCATTTCAGAATACATTTTCCATTTCTTAACTTTATCATGATACTCTCTGAGATGATATCATCCCAGAAAGTTTCTCTTGGTTTCAAATATATGTAAAGGACCAAAGAAGATCTGTAATTCTTCAGTACTTGTGCTGGTGTGGTGTCACTTGATGTTGGGGTAGGGGTGTTATTTCAGTTTCTTCAGATATATGATATAGTAATCCTTAAGTTCCAGAAGAACTTCAGATGTATATGGGACTATGAATTCTATTGCTACAGTTTTGTTTTTATGTAGTATTTCTAAGTTTCCCGCTTTATGAATACATAAGAATTTTTGGGATTTAAAAATGAAATAAGAAAAGTTTTCCATTAGAAATAAACATGTAAGTAAATATGTGGATGGGATCTTTAGTAATGCACTGGTTGGTACCTTTGCTGTTCAAGAGATTTTCCTTTGAACAGCTCACTTTTCTAAGTGGGCATGCTTCATAATATAAACTGAAAATGGACACAGGAAAGAAGGCTTACTTGGTAATTTTCCATGATGGAGTACATTTTTCCCTCCCCATAGCTGGCTCATTTTTTTTTTTTTTTAATATATATGAAAGACCTTAATAATTTTAATGTAATTTATTTCTCTTGGAATGTTATAAATATATCATAGTGTCTTGACCCTGAATTGGGAACAAACTTACTCTGAAATAGAAATAATGTAATTTTAAAACTTTTAGATTGAAAAGGCAAATATTTTTGGACTTCTATACTGTAAAAGCAGATTTTTTTTATGTGACAATAATTTACAAAGTGGTATACTACATTTGTAATACCCAAAAACTTCTCTGGTGCTATTATTTACAAACACATATCATTTAGGACTGTTGATTCTTTGTCCACAATCTAGATATAGTATTTCTTTTCTTTTTCCTTTTTCTTTTTTTTTTTTTTTTGGAAGACAGAGAAAGCACAGATTAGCTATACTACTTCAAAGAAGAAAAATAAAGAAAATATCAAAACCCAAATGAAGCAGTCTGTTTCTTTTAGTACTCTACAACTCGAGTATGATCACAAGCTAAAGTAGAGCTATTTCTAGGTGTCTTGCTGTTATGTTTTGTTTTTGGGGTTTTGGTCATTATTGTAAATGATATATATAGTTCCTTTTAATCCAAACATGACTACTCTTCCTTTCTCAAGGCTAATACCTTTTCTTCCTTTTATCCTTTTATTCTTATGTACCATAGGAGCTTCATTTTATTGTTTTCATGGATAGCATGAGAAACCATTAGGTCAAGTAATAATACATTAGATTACTGGTTTAGGCAACAACTATCTTTACAAACAAACTTGCTGAGCTCAGAATGAAGAACAAAATATATATATTCATATTCTTAGGCTCCTTACCACAATAATCTTAACCAAGGAACTCTACTTTTGAGGGAGAAAAAAAGAAGAGAGTTTAGACTGCAATGCTCAGATTAGGGTCATGAAGGACTTCACTAGGGCCTAAGCAGGTCACCAAGCAACTCTTGACTCTGGTCTCACATTGCCATCTCTGAGAAGATGATCAGCATCCATTATAGTTCTTATTTATTTATATACTGTCTGTAGGTCTTAAATTATTGCTTAATTACAAAATACTGTAGACCTTAAGAAGGGGCTTCATTTATATTGAAGTCTTCTACCAAAGTCAGCACTTATAATTTATTTTCTTTATATAATTGTCTTTCTAAAACAAACAGTCTGCAGCAAAAAGTAGAAAGATGCCTTGAAGATGGAATCCGCCTTCCTATGTTAGATGCAAAACAGCTTCAGAATGAAAATGATAACCTGAGAGAACAAAATGAGAATGCTAGTAAGGTCAGTACATACCTTCGATAATAAATGTGAAATATATACTATGTGGATATGTGTGTATAGATATATAATTTATTGTTATTTGATTCATATTTTGCTAATAGCGTATGAAATTTTTAATTTGAATGTTTTTATTTGGCAAGAAAATAGCAATTTAAATAAATGCCAAACCAAGGAAATTATATTAACAAAAACAATAGGATATCTTTTTACTTTCTAAAATATTCCAAGTCTGTTTCAAAGTTATTTTTATATATTGCATTAGTTAGAGAACATTTTTATCAAATAGAGGAAGACTTTTGCAGTTTTATATGTGTGTGTAATATTTAAAGCCTACTTGGTATGAATATTTTTATTTAAAAAAATTACACCCTGTTTTTTAAAAATTAAATTCATGATTCCCCATTATTTTGTTTTCTTGAAATATATTGGTGCTTTTAAAAACCAATGGAAAAAATAATTTGGTTCAGACTGATATATTTCTTCTGTTTTAGATCATAGACAGCCAACAAGATGAGATTGACAGAATGATTTTAGAAATTCAGGTAAGGATTGTTTTGTGTTTATTTTAAGTTAGCTCTATGCCAATTTACTCTTAATGGTTATGTAACCTAAAAATAATAAAGCATGTATATATTTGTTTGAAAAGATTAGTAGTACTTAAGGTGAAGTTACAAATTCTTTAATATTAATCTTTCAGTTTTTTAAAATGTAAATTCAGTAAATCAGTTCTTTAAAAAATTATGAAGATTGTTTTCTGTTCCTTGCTTGTCATCTTTTTAATTGGTTGTAGTCTGTTGCTACCACTGAGAACACATTTGATTAAGATGTAATTAAAGACAATAGACTGTTTATAGTCCATTGTGACTACAAGAACCCTCTCCCTCACAATACTATATATTATACTTTCTTTATTATCAAAGTATAACACTTTGTTTACATATTTGTGTCTTTATCTCCTACTTAGTTTCTTGAGAGTAGAGTCTGTGGTAGAGTATATGCATATCCAGAGTTTAGAATGTCTAACACATATTACATAATCCAAAATTGGTGAATTAAATGGATTTTTATTCTCTTACTGCATTATCATATTTACTGAGTACTTCTATGTGTGCCAGGCACTGTTCTTTGCACTGGGGATTTATCAGTGAACAAAACAAGTTAGTTCCTGGCCATTCTAGTGGGGTGAGATGGAGAAAATGGAAATATAATATCAAGTAGTGATACCTGTTATTAAAAAAAAAGATTAGGGTAGAGGGCAATGACAATGTTGCATTACATACAGTGATCTTGAAGTTTTTTCTGAGGAAATGATATTTAAATAGAGATCTGAATAAGGATAACAAGGAAAAAGCATTCTAGGCAGAGAGAGCAACCAAAGCCCTGAATGCGCCTGCTGTGCTCCAGGACCTGCAAGAAGGCTGCTAGTCTGGAGTGCAGTGATTGTAGAGTGGTGAGAGATGCCATTGGAAAACAGCTTGGAGCCAGATCGCAGTGGGGGTCTGTGTCTTTGTATGATGGAAAGCCATTGGACAAATGTGCTGAATAAGTATGTTTATACCTCCTAATTCTAACATTTCTTGTGGTAATAAAAAAAGGAGAAGGTAAATGCTATAGGTGTCAGAATTATCGCCAGTCTGCTTTCATTGTCTTTTGGCCATATTAAGTGATTTGTCAATTTAATCAAACACTAGTCCAATTCAACAATGTGTGGGTCTGCTGGATTGATTCACAGAGAGTATATGCTTTAATTTGTATTCCTACAGACATAACTTCAGTTGTTCTGTAAGCCATTTGAATCACAAGATAGTGAGGTGTCCTTAGCCATTATTATTTGACTTATAGATCATAGTGAAAGGAATTTTTATTTTACTTGGTAACATTTTCTGAGAAATAAATCTAGTAAAAGTTATCTCTATCCATATTAAAGACACTCACCATTGTCCTTTGGTATTGAAATTTTAATGGATAAGACTTGTAAGATTTTGTTTATCACATACTGTCTCTCACATTATATTCAGGATATATTTGTATTAGTTGAAATGTGCATTTTTCCCATTTGTGGAGGCATCTTAGTGCAAATTATCCTTATACATTAACCAAGTTTTTTAGTCACATTTAGATATGTCATGACCTTATATGTACAAGAATATGTAATTATATGCCTTTTTATTTTTTGATCTTAAAATGCTTGAGTAAACATTCTTTTATTTCTTTAAACTAGAGAATGGAAGGTCAAATAAGATGCATTTATTTCCAAATATTTAGGCTTAGACAATACATTATACTCATTATTCTATTGTCTTCTGAAGCAATAGCGCTTGTGCTCTAGCTCTCCTATTCTCCGCCCTCTCTCTCCCCCTTCCCTTCTCTCTCTCCTCTTAGCCATTCTGGCCATGTAGGTCTGTAGATCATATAGTTTGCTCACAGAGACAGATAACAAATGTTTATAGCTGTCTAACTTAGCTATATTTTTCAAGATGATATTTGAACATAAAATTATAGATGATGACAAATATGCCTCAGACAGAAAAATTTTCACTTAACGTTACCTGTTTAAACTTGTTATTTTTTGACCCCTCACAGCTGAAAAGCTAAGTTTGTTTGTTATTTGGTGGTTTGTGATGAATATAAAAGGTGTATACTCTATAAAAACCTGAAAATATTGCCTATTCTAAAAAAAAAAAATGAATAGTAATTATTTTGCTAGCATTGGAAACCACAGAGAGAATCCTAAAGAGAACACTTTGGGTTGAAAAAGTATTCTTGTTGCTTTGTACTACAGTTAACAGGCATATGATCAAATTGATACACATAATTGAAACAGTTCCTTTCAACTACGAGTTCTTTAAAGCTGCCTAGGATTTTTCCATCTGCTTCCATAGAGAGAGGCCAGCTTTTCACCTGTGTAGATTATGATGTCCTTCTTATATGCTATAGCTGTTTTTAATTTCTTCAAATTACTTTATATAGCCAAAATAACAAAATTCTTTATAATTAAAGATAGTAGAGAGCTTACCAACCATTTTTTTTAACAGAAATTATGCATTTTAGCTCTCAGTATAGTATTAAATTTATTGTAAAATTTCACTGCCATTATAGTTTGCATGTTCTTTGTTCCTCCATAGTGCTGGGAAGTTGTTTCGTTTTAGAGTGTTTAATAGGCAAAAGCAAACGGTATTATTAAAATTTCATGTTTTACTGCTTCTTTGTGTCTCTGCAAACTATTGAAGAGACCAAATTTATTATAAGTTTATCTGGCTAGTTTGTAGTATTGCATTGCCTTGGGTACAAGCAAGTTATTCTTGCAGTTTAAATTTTGTGAGAAAACAGAAAAATGAAATCCCTTGCCATGTTCATTTTATGTCCAATTTATAGGAGATAAAAATAAGACAGTTACACAGTGAAATGCTATATTTAAAATACAGCTATAGTTTACTACCTTGTACCAGAACTCAAATAGTACTTCATGTAAAAGTGTATGCCGATTTTGAATTTGAGTTCAGTGCTATAAAAATACAGTTATATCTACTGTTTGGTTCAGCTGTCAAGATGGTATTGTTAACTGGCATGAAAACCTTGTTTTGTCATTCATCCTTTAGAAATATTGCCTTTCCTTACATCCATGGAACCAATATAGTGAAACTGACTTCTTCTCCTGCAGGTTTTTCTTCTGTCAGTATACAATATAAAAAGACATTTTGCAGTAGAACGTTCCCCATCATTTCCATAAAGTGGCTTCAGTCAGAATGTGAATGAGTTCTTCATTGGGCATTATCTTCCTTCCTATTTATTTCTCAAAAGCACATTTCATCTGTATAAGCCTGTCTTCAGTGAACTGTTATCATTGTAATCTTTCAGCTGAGGAAATAGAGTAAACAGTTTGTTAACTTGTTTTCTCTAACATCTTAAAATGTTTCCTCATTGAAAGGACTTATGTATTTAAAATGGCCTTTCTGAATTAATAGCTATATATGAATGATCATACTATCACAAAAGACAGAATGATGCATTAAAGGTCATTAAGACTCTTCACTCTTAAAGGAATGTTGGAAACACCAATCTCAAAACTGTGACAGTCTGTCCTATTTATAACACTTCAAAAGAAGATGTTTCCACAGCCTCAGGAGATTTTATTCCAATTTCTAGCAAATCTTTCTTAATGCCTTCATCTAGCAAGTTTCCTCAATAGAAATGGAGGGAAAAAGGATCATAAGCCAATAAGAATGTCTTATAGGTAGACTAGAACTTTTCTTTAACGTAAATAAATGTTAATTGATTTAATGCTTCCCATTATTACTCTTGTTTTTATGTTATCCTAGTTTTGTGGTGTTCTGGCATGAAATTTTTCTTCCAAAATCTAATTTTTAAGGTTTTATCTACATGAAATCGCTTTATAATGCATGAAAAACTAAATATATTCTTACCAGAAATCAGGACTAATTTTTGAAAAACCTAGCAGCCAAAAAATGTATTCTATTAAAGGAAAAGTAGCTTTTTAAAAAATAAGCTTTCTCTACAATTCGTACTTATAAAGAGAACAATCTTTAATGTACACGTATGCATGTTTTATGGACGTTATAGTTGTTGCTTAATTAAAATGTTAGAAAAAATATGTAAGAGATGGATAACTATTGAAAAAATCAGTTCTTTGTGTCTGAGGTAGGGAGTTGCAGGAATGGAGTCAGCTCACTTGAATACATGAATAATATTCTTGAGCTTCTGTTATTAGTGGTCACCAAACCTGTATGGATAGTCAAATTATGTGGGGTGTTTTAAAAATAATAGATTTCTGGGCCCCATTATGAACCTAATGAATCAGTATCTCCAAGGTGAAGCTTGAATATGTATTATTAACAAGTTCCACAGGCAGTTCTTATAGCCTGGCAGTCATCCTAGTCCTAGTACCTTTAGGAAGTGTTGTAACCGCCCTTAGTGTGCTCATTGGACCCAAAGTGGGAATTGACTTGGAAGACTAAGATTTAAGTTAAAGGAAAAAAAACGTTTAGTTTTGAGACACCTGGGTGTGTTCTTGACAAATTTAAATTGTTTTGGTAGCTCTTATAAGCCTAAGAGCAGAACAGAAGCTGGAGGAAAAGGAACCCAGACAGGTTGTTTTTTCTTTATATTGTGCTGATTTTTTAATAACAGCTTTATTGAAATATAATTCACATACTTCACAATTCACCCATGTAAAGTGATTCAGTAATTTTTAATATATTCAACATGTGGATATATGGAGCCAAGACTATAGTCAATTTTAAAATATTTTTATCACCTTGAAAAAAAACCCTTTTAGTTGTCTCCTTTAAACCCCATCTCCTCCCCAGTCATAAGCAATCACTAATTTTTCTGTCTTTATAGACTTACCTATTCTAGACATTTCATATAAGTGTAATATGTGATCTTTTATGACTCTTCCTTTGACCACACCAGCTCTGAAGCTCCATTAATTGCCTGCTGATCACTCTGTTGTTTTCATTGCTAGCCCATGGCATAAATTGCTTCACAGACGGATCCATTCCTGCGCCTTTGAAGGAATACT